ATTATAGACGTCGTCCCCCTCCAGGACGGACGTTCAAGGGGGCTAAGGTTCAACTACTCTTCCGCCTCTTGAACGTCCGTCCTGGAGGGGGAGGACGTCTATATAATATTAAACGTTCGTCCCCCTCCAAGCGACGTTCAAGAGACTAAAGAGGTAGTTGAACTGTCAGTCTCTTGAACGCCGTCCTGGAGGGGGGACGGACGTTTAATATATATAGACGTCCGTCCCCCTCCAAGACGGACGTTCAAGAGGCTGACAGAGTAGTTGAACCAGTCAGCCCCTTGAACGTCCGTCCTGGAGGGGAACGGACGTTTACTATCTATAGACGTCCGTCCCCCTCCAGGACGGACGTTCAAGAGACTGATTGGTTCAACTGCCCTGTCAGCCTCTTGAACGTCCGTCCTGGAAGGGGACGGACGTTTACATATAGTAGACGTCCGTCCCCCTCCAGGACGGAGGTTCAAGATGTTGACAGGGTAGTTTAACCCGTCAACCTTTTGAACGTCCGTCCTTGAGGTGCCGGACGTTTACTATATATAGACGTCCGGCCCCCTCCAGGACGGACGTTCAAAAGGCTGAATCTTCAACTCTCCCGTCAGGCTTTTGAACGTTTGTTAGAGGGGTCGCACGTCTACTGTATTATAGACGTCCGACCCCGTCTAGGACGGACGTCTCCACACTCAATTATTTACATTTATGCCACCGGTCAATTATTTACGTTGGAGTTTTGGTGGACGGACGTCTATGAGGTGACGTTAAAGATCAATTTTGCACTAGTGAAAGCATGTCATTTGCCAGTGGAGATGGAGCATAAAGCTTTGTGGACTCTTAAATTTTTTAATTTTGATCCTTCTAAAACTCAAAATAAGCGCAGAAGGCAGATGCTGGAGCTTGAAGAGATGTGGTTGCATGCATATGATTCATCCAGAAGCTACAAAGAACAGGTAATATTCTATCATGATAGGAAGTTGATAAAAAAGTCTTTAATCCAGGACATCAGGTGTTATTATTCAATTCCAGATTGAAGCTTTTTCTTGGAAAGTTGAAGTCAAAATGGTCTGGGCCTTTCATAGTGAAAAGTGTGCGTCCACATGGAGCGATTGAATTGGTTGATCCAGCTGCCAATGATCAACAGAGTAGTTGGGTGGTGAATGGTCAACGTCTCAAGCATTATCTGGGAGGAGAAGTAGAGCGGTTGTCCACAGTGATGAAGTTGGTTGATCCTTGAAGTATATTGGATCAAGCTAGTGACGTTAAAAGAACGCTTGCTAAGAGGCAACCCAGTGATTTAAGAAATTTTATTTTTGGTTTGGTGATGTAATTATGAACTTTTGGAATTTTTGTTTAGTTATAAACTTGTCAGGAGAAAAAGTATCTACTGCAGGATACTATGTTCGGTTGCACCTACTAATGGGTGCTGGAGGATTTTGGGTCAGGCTCCTGACGTTAAACAAGCGCTTACTAGGAGGCAACCCAGTGTTCTAAATTCTTTAATTTATTTGCTTCTGGTTTTAGAATAAGGTTTGATGTACTCAGTTTGAAACTTTATCTGTTAGGATGGTTTGCTTGTGACTTATGCAGGATGATGAGTATTGCTTGATGATGCTTGGATATTGATTGATGTTGAGATTGTGCACATTATATGCTTATATACAGGTAGTGGTTCACGAGCTATGTGAACAAATGCACGATGTTGTGATTGTGATTATGATGCTAAGCAGGATGTGTATGTGGAATGTTGAATGAGCCTATATGTGAGGTTTTGAACTCTAGAGTTTTTGGTGAATGAATGCTATTACTTTGAAAGCATGAATGACTTTGCCCAGGTTTCTATGACTGAATCACTTGTTTGTATGTATCATATGATCAAGGCCATCTGTTGTTACCCTTTATTATCCAAATGCATGATTTTAGCCCAATAAAAGAGAGCACAATGTGTTCTATCCTTTGAACCCTTAGCTTTGAACATGATAGAAAACCCTTTTTGAAAAGTTTTACCTTGAGTTGAGTTGAAGATATCTTGTGGTATTGATAAATGTTCAAGTTTGGGGTTGTTGGGTGGTTTAAAAAGGGGAATATGAAAAGCATTGAGCTAAGCATGTGAAAAGTAAAATAAAAAGGAAAAGAAAAGAAAGAAAAAAAAAGGCTCAATGCAAAAGAAAGTTGGGAAAAAGGAAGAATGATTGTGTTTAGATGAATCACGTAACTCAAGGATTTTGTGATACAGAAAAACCAATTTTCTTATTAGCCCAGCCACATTATAAGCCATAGAAAAGTCCTTGTGATGATACATGCTTGTGAATGTGTTTGATTATGGTTAAATGAAAGGCAAAGTTAATTCATGTGACATTGTGATAGTAGAGTGAATGAGTGACCTCTTATACACTTGTGTGTTTGAGTGAAACCCTTTATCTAGAGAGGAAAGATTCCATGTACACATAAGTGCATCTATGCTTAGTTGATTGATCATTCATAAGAATAACATTTGTTGAATATTATGTGATTATGTGAACACTAAAGCATGTGTGCATCTTGACTAAATTCTTTGTGTTGAACTGATTTGAGTAGTTATTCATCTTGAAATAAGGAGTTTTGAATGTGGTGAACCGTTGAATGGATTGGTGGAAGATTAAGTTACATTTTGTTTGCTTGAGGACAATCAAAGTTCTAAGTTTGGGGTTGTGAAAACAGTTGAAAAACTATTATTTTTAGACTTAATTTTGACCTTAAAGACAACCTTTATGACTTAGAAACTAGCTTGTAATCAGGCTTTTGCTTATGTTTTGGAAATAAGAGAGTTGGATGGGTTTTATGCTTGGTTTCTCTTGTTTTTTGCAGGTTTTAAGATGAATTGAATGGAACAAGTGAAGTAGCCATAAGGTGGAGTCAGAAAAGGTAAGAAAAAATGCACAAAAGAAGAGCCGCAAGTACCGCTCGGCGGAAATTACCGCTGAGCGGCACAGTAGTCCCGTAGTCACCGTTGAGGGGAAAAACTGCAGCTGAGCGTCAAATTGAAGAATCGTACTTACCGTTGAGCGGTAATTACTGTTGAGCGGTATTTTAATGGGGCTTGGGCCACTTTTCTGTAATCTTTAAGAGTCTATATAACGTTTTAGTCGACCTACGGTTAGTATCTTTTGGCAGAACGAAGCAAAATCACACTTTCTTCACCCCTTGGAGGAGGATTTTGGATGCTCAAGCTCCACTCTTTAAATTCTAGGGTTCTATCTTTCATTCTTTCATTATTTTTCATCTCGTTTCACCATGATTATGGTGAACTAAACCTTCATTGTTGGTAGCGAATCAATGTCAAAGGCTTTCAAACATTCTTCATCAAGCACAAATAATACATCTTTAAGCAGCAGATTACTCAATGGTTTTGAAATTTTTGAGAAGTCTTTAATAAATCTTCTATAGAATCTGGCGTTGCCTAAGAAGCTTTTGATTCCCTTCACATTTGTTGGTGGCGGGAGTTTCTCAATGACCTCTACTTTGGCTTTATCAACTTCAATCCCCTTAGCAGAAATCTTGTGCCCTGACACAATTCCTTCTATTACCATGAAATGACATTTCTCCCAATTAAGCACCAGATTTGTTTGAACACACCTTTTGAGAACAATATCCAGACTCGCCAAACACCTTTGGAAGGAATCTCCAAAGACTAAAAAATCATCCATGAAGACTTCAATGCACTTTTCTATGAGATCTGCAAAAATTTCCTGCATACACCTTTGAAATGTGGCTGGGGCATTACATAACCCAAATGGCATCTTTTTGTAGGCAAAGACACCAAAAGGACATGTGAATGCTGTCTTCTCTTGGTCTTTTGGATCTACCACAATTTGGTTGTATCTAGAGTATCCATCTAGAAAGTAATAAAATGCCTGACCTACCAATTGATAACAGTTGAAAAACTGTTATTTTCATGCTTAAAATTGACACAAAAAGCAACCTTTACACTTAGAAACTAGCTTGAAATCATGCTTTTATCCATATTTTCATAAATAAGAGAGCTTGACAGGTTTATGCTTGATTTCATTGTTTTTGTGCAGGTTTTAAGGTGAATTTAGTGAAAGAAGTGAAGAAGAAGAGAGATGGAATCAGAAAAGACATCAAAAAGTGCAAAAGGAGAAGCCGAAGTCACCGCTCAGCGGCAGTTTACCGCTGAGCGGCACTCAGGAAGTCACGGGAGGTCCGTGATAACAGTTGAAAAACTGTTATTTTCATGCTTAAAATTGACACTAAAAGCAACCTTTACACTTAGAAACTAGCTTGAAATCATGCTTTTCTTCATATTTTCATAAATAAGAGAGCTGGACAGGTTTATGCTTGATTTCAGTGTTTTTGTGCAGGTTTTAAGGTGAATTTAGTGAAAGAAGTGAAGAAGGAGAGAGATGGAATCAGAAAAGACATCAAAAAGTGCAAAAGGAGAAG